ATATTTGTAATCATTCCTTGGTTTTGTTTTTTGGTGCTTTTTTTTGCATCTATGCAATACAGAATAATTGGCCAACGCACAGGCTGCTCGTGTGAAAATGCGTTTTTTGCGTAGTTCCCTGCAGTTTTTGCCGCTATCGGCATCGGTTTTTTCGGCAAGTGTTTCAAGCTAAACAGACCAAGACTGGCTGCCAGAACTGGCAGGAAACACCCCCCTTAGAATTTCGGCTCTCTAGTTTTCCTGGCTCCTGAGTTAGCAGCTTACTGGAAAAAAATTTTCACGGGCGTGCACGCGGTTACCACGCATACCCAATGTCTGGGTTTGAGCTCATTGAGACTTACTTGGACGGGGAACATCTTTTTGAAACTACAGTCTTTTAGCTTTTCAGGTTGTCGAGCTATGAACTTAACCGAGGAAAACTTTGGTGAACCCGTGCGTAGGTACCACGTATGACCGAGGGCTGGGTTTGAACTCGTTGAGACTAATGTGGACGGGGAACACTCTCTTAATATTACAGTCTTCTAGCATTTCAGATCCCCGAGTTGTGAGCTTACTCGGGAAAAATTTTGGCGGGCCCGTACGCGGGTACCACGCTTACCCGGGGACTGGGTTTGAGCTCATTAATACTTACTTGGACGGGGAACACCCCCTTAAAATTTCAGCTTTCTACCTTTTCTGGTTCGCGAGTTACCAACTTACCCGTAAAAAAATTTTGGCGGGCTCTTACTTGGGTATCACGCGAGTAAGACCGTCGATTTTGAGGATTGGCGCCCTTACGTATATGTAGATTAAGTCCCCAAAGTTTCACCCTGTGACTTTTGCCGGTCTCGAGATAAAAAATCGGCACAGACGCCCTGCGCACACACAGACACACACACACACACACACATAAAAAGCATATTGTCGAGAGGTATTTCGTCCGTGTGTGTCTCTGTGTTCGTCCTTACCGATTTTTCATCTCGAAACTACAAAACAGAGAAGTTTGGGAGCTTAACCTACGTGCATGTACA